AATGCTCCATTTTTGTTAGGGAATGGATTGTTGATTCTTTATTAGAGTTATGTTTAGCGCAAGGTTCATTTTCTTATTAGATATACCTTTTGTTTCAATTTATGCGAGCACTTAATTCGAGAAAGAAAAAAAAATGAAATTTGTTGTCCGAAATATGCAGTAATATTTATGTGGCTATAAATTATTTTATTAAAGATAAAATGAGAAGTTTAAAAAAAATTATTATTCTAAATAAAAAATTATGTCATTCTCTTTTGAACAAACAAAACAAATATCAACAAAATGGGATGGAGGGATCTGTACCTTGAAAAAAAGAAAGTAAAATGGTTTAGGAGGTTCCTGGTCAGTCCACCTAAGAAAACATGGAGTTATAAACCTTGCGCCTAACATAACTCTAATAAAGAATCAGTAATTCCCTCACAAATATGTAGCATTTTAACACCTCCACATATCCGATACTTTCTTTTGGTTTCGTGTCCGGTGTCCAATACCCACATTGAGGCTCAACTAAATTCGGATTCGTGCCGAGAAGTCCCACACTGGGGGTAAAGTGTTCTCTAACAAAGGCGACTCTATACCCACAAGCTCGAACTCGAAACCGCTGATTAAGGATGAATGATTACTTACCACTCCACCACAATCCTTGTTGGTGCATATCCAATACTAAACACATATACACAGTAGGTGACCATTGCACCCACCTTTGAATTCTCCAAAATACCCATGCCACCTCATTAAAATAAGGGCTTTTTTGTAATTACCTTTCTCCTCCTCGATTTGCAAACTCCCATCTCCAACCTTAGTAGGCGTTTGGACATTACAATGGTAAAATTCTAGAAAATAGTAAAATAAAAATAAAAAATTAAGTTGTGCCTGGACATGAATGCAATTTGGAGCTGTTTTTAAATTTTTGTGAGTGATTTGAAGTGAAAATTTTGAAAAACCATTTTTTTGGAGTTTTTCAAATTTTGAAAAAATTCCGAAAATCAACTTCAAGTGAAGTTTGAAATTTTCATGCACAAACACCGATTCCGAAAGAAATGAAAATTTTCTTATGGCCAAACGGACCCTAATTTATCTCTCCTATTTTCGTTCTAGCCTCAAGTTTTGATACAGCAACATCTTGATAAAGAGCCGGTTTGGCTTAGTTGATTTAAAGTAGCTGATAAGAAGTAGGTACTGAAAAGCACTTTTTAATGTTGAAACGGATTTTATAAATAAGCAGCTACATGTTTGGACAAAAGTGCTGAAATTTAATAAGCAATTAAAGTGTTTGGTAAAAAAGAGCTGATAAGTAACTTTTTATGTTAAAAAACTCAAATACCTTAGGACTGATTACACTAATAGAGAGATGATTATTGCAAGAATTTTAATTTTAACTTGTTTTAAATAAAATTATTTTTATGTTTCAAATTAAATATAAATTATTTTGTGATATCATGACATACAATTATTAATAATTTGTATTTTGTAGGTTGGTCGTAAATATACTTAGATAGTGCGTGTAATATTTGAATAAGAAATACATGTATTCAAATGTTCTTTCTTTATAATTAAAAATAAACATTCAATTAAGATAAATTTAAGTCCCAAAGTAAAACCCAATTTATTACGATGATTTTACATTAAGTATTTTGTGTTTTTTTCTAGAAAAAAGAAGAAGAAGCGGAAAAAAAAATTCTCTATCTAGAAGAAAAGAAAACGATGAAAGGTTCAAGAACAACAATCAAAATACACTAACATGTAGCCTTTCTCTACTAGGATAGAATAATCCATCATTTTATTAATGATAGTCACCACCAACAATATTTGATTTAATAGTTAACGAATTAGAAGTATATAAGATCTTTTATTACACAACAATATAAGCAAAATAATGGAAAGGTTCCTCACCCATAACATTACAAAGAAAACGAAAGTAGTGCTGGAAAGGGGTGAAACGAAGTCATGGAAACGGAGAGGGTTAGGGCGTTTCAAAATGTTGATTTAAGGATACAATAGTAAAAAATTTGGTCAAACTAAAAGTGCTTATAAGCTGCAAATTCATAAGTTGGGGGAGATCAACTTATGGCTTTTAGCTTATAAGCACTTGATTTATTATTATAAAATAAAAAATAAAATAAAAAAAGCACTTGAGATTGGCATGTGAAGTACATAAATAGCCCTCAAAGTGGATGGTCTTGAACTTTTTGTCGGCTTACCCCATGGGTAGAATTTTTAATTTAACAAGTATTGTCTCGTGAGCAACACTTTTAACTTTTGACCTTAAAGTTCTGCTCAAGGGGCAAACAAAGATCAAAAGTCAAAGCTCACCATGTCATATTTCTACAATTTTTTGGTGCAATAGAGTATTATTAGAGTAAATTTGCAAAGAACATGGATTTCCTTTACGTGCAAAAGTTTTAACTTTGTTTGATAGATCAAAAGCATATAAAAATTATCTTCGATAATGAACCATGAAACTTGAACTCTAGACTTTTGCCTTATCTAATATCATGTTAAAATCAGATCAAAAAACTTAAACTTACAGATAAGGTTATCGTACATTAAATGAACTATTTCTTAGTCCAGTACTCCTGTATCATAAATTGAACTTTTCATTCATTTTTAAGAAATTCTATATTTTAATTTACATGCAAAATTACCCTTCAAATATCAATTAGGCTTGATCTCTGTATGTTTGCAGCAACATGGGGAGCAATGGTGTATCACACTTGGAAGGCGAGGAACTGGAAATTGTTTAAACATACACATGTACAGGCGGCAGGAATAGTTATACAGATAAAAAAAGAGATTCTAGCTAGAGTAGACACAATTAGTTCATCACAAAGAGTAGGGGTGTACATAAGTAAGGTTGGTTCGAATTTTGCAATTACCAAACCAAACCAATTGTGTCGGGTTATTAAATCTAAAGACCAAACCAAACCAATAAAACTCGGATTTTTCAATCTCGGTTTTTCTCGGATTTTCTCTNTATTCGGGTTTTTTTGGTTTTTTTCCCGTAAAATCTTTGTAGCACAAAACAAATAATGTGTGCTCAAAACACTTCTTTAATCCTAGTAAGATACAACTATATACGGTATTTCCAAAAAAATAATACAAAATATGAGATGTGTCATGGCATTATCCTAAAATATTCAACAATAAGGACAATAAAATCGTGTAATATAAATATTGCTAATTAAAATGCCATAATAAAAATAAACATAATCTAAAAGTACTAAGTCATGCTAAAATAAGTAGACTTATAAGGGAGTATTAATTACATGACTAAATGCTAAGAAAAAATAAAAATATGTTATGCAGTTTTATCTAAATTATTGCAAAACAAAAAACAGATATTCAATACATTGCCGTTCGTAGTATTGGATTGATTGTCTTTTGTTAGCATTAATATTGATTTGATTTTGGTTTGGACTTTTGTTAGCATTATTTAAGTTAATAATATTAATGGCTATAGAACTTATTGGAACATTCAAAAGTTCTAAGTCCGACCTTGAAATAATACCTTAAAAGATAAAATTATGAAAAAGTTTAAGAAATATTTATAAATTACATCACAATAAGTATATTTATATATTAAATATAACTAAAATTTCTATATATGTAATGTCGGGTTGGTTTGGTTTCGGTTTGACTTTCTTTAGTTAAAACCAAACCAAACCAATTATAGTCGGATTTTTTTTCCAACACCAAACCATAGTCGAGTTTTTTTCTCGGTTTGACTCGGATTATCGGGTTGGTGCGGTTTGTCGGTTTCCTTTGTAGACCCCTAACAGAGCATATAGATGTAGGAACTTAATAGAGCAGCTGCAAATATAATTAGTTTTTTCTCTGCTTGTCTGTTGGAGGCTTGATCTCTGTATGTTTGCGAGATCAAGTACTCTTTAAGTGTAAGGATTTGTTTGTCAATGGTAATATTTACATGGTTACCAAAAAAAAATATATCAATTAGGCTAGACAATATGTAACAGACAGAGCAGCAGCCAGCATGCATGATTGGAAGCATCTTGGCCGGCTGAAAAGATGAAAAGTGAGACTAACCCACGCTCCAGGCTCCACCTCAGCCCCACCCCTCACGTTAAAAAAAAAAAAACAAACAAAAGAGAGAGAGAAACTACCAATTATGTCAACCCATAAGCAAATTAGTATAAAAATTAGCAATTCATAAAATATTACTATTATTAGCGAAATATCACCAATATTAGCCAATTAGCTACTTGTAGCCAAAACAAGGTCAAGTTTTGTTTTCTTTTGAGTGATTATTGTTGGAATAGATTGGGCGCATCTGAAGAAGTTTGAATCTCAATTTTGGGATGAGGTGAAGTTTTGAGGTGGTTTGCATTGAAAGTTCGAAGTAGAAGATGAACATGAAAAAAGATGATATGAGTATCACACTGTGTATCATTTACGTATCACATATGTATCATATGTGTATCAAATGCGTATCATACGTATATCCATTTATACATGTGCATGAGATACATGCGTGATACATGTGTCGCAGATGAATTTTCTTAACTCGCTTTTACCTGTGAATTTTGATACCAAATCAATCCAAATCACCTTCAATCTTCCTCATAATTTGTATATTGACTTCTCTATATGTTTTCAATGAATTTCGACCGTACTTATAGAAAAATGTCCCCTTTTTTTGCTTAGGTGTTTGGAATCTTGTATATATATATATATATATATATATATTCTTTGTGGTTCATCACCTTCTTTGTTATCTCATCTATGAAATTTCCTTCCCATCTTCCATCTAATGGCGCTTATCACGCCTAAAAATATGGAAGGAGATCTTTGTGTCATTGTTGGAGAGAAAGAATCGTTATTTATTTTGTATGTGTTTGGCTAGTTTTGATAAGTCTGTGATTTATGGCTAGCAGGTTGGTACGTTTGGGTATATTTTGGACATTTGCGTAAGATTCTTTAAAAAAGGCCAAGAAGAGACTTTATTGGGTCGGTTTAGGTCCATTTAAACTTTGGGCCGGATCCATAACAAGGCTATCAATATGTTGATATACTGGCTGGCCTAGGAGTACCCTGTTCGAGCACTACTAGTTTAACTGCAATTCTGACTAAATTGCCAAATTCATTGTCTACTGTAAACTTTGTTACACTTGTAATATTAAATTAATGGAGGGGAATTGATTATGAAGATAATAACATATTTCTGCTAAGTTTGGCAGAAAAGAATTTGATTGTAGCTTTATTTGAAGACCAGGTTGTGACATGTTTTATCGCATGGATAAGCACAGTCAATTGACTTCACGCCTGCTCTATCAAAATACCAATCTCCAACTGCAAGTGCAACCGGCTGCATATTGTTCCAATGTCATGTTATTTGTCAGAGCCATTTGTACATGCAAATTATATCTTTTGCACAAAGAAACAAAGAAAATGAAGTAGCATAGCGAGAAGATACAAAAGGATTTACAAACCGTACCTTGTTATCGATAAGGGGAGAATCATCAGCAAACCATGTATCCTGCCTCTCGGATTGGCAGTGTGCAAAGCATGAGTTTATGAAGAGACCATTTTGTGTTGAGGCAGCAAAGCCTTTAACAGCATTTAGCATATCATTCCTGAAACCTGTTCCAAAATGTATTTCATCGACATGTAAAGTTCAGCGTCTAAGAATACTGAAAAGGCAAAAAATCAAGAGCTTAGTGGAGCATACCTTGCAGAAATTGAATTTGTGATGCAGAACATTGTTCATTGTTGAGTTTACAATCATGCCACAAGCCCTTAGGGTCAGCTACTGGAGGAGCCAAACTGGATTGAACCTATTCGAAGTTGCACAACGAATTTTTTTTATTATTTCCCGAAGATCATATTATGCAATCACCAAATAGGAGAAAAGTAAGAAACTATGGAGATGAGAATTTACCTGCCAGGAATCATAGGCAGCATTTAGCAGAAATAGAGGGGTCTTGATATTGCCGATCAAATTCTGAGGAAAGAAGCACTGGAAAGGGAGAAATATAGGAATTGTATCAGTAACATGAAAAGATATCAGATATTGAAATGGCAATTATATTAAAAAAAGGCTTACCGAGGTTGGATCAAGTTTGTTGGTACAAGTACTTGGCAGTGTCTTCTGAAGACCCTGTTAAAATTATGAATATTCTGCTTAGCAATGCTTGGAGTTACGTTACCGAAAAATGCAAAAAAGATCACCCTTAACAGTTGCTTCTTTTATTTTGCGATTCTCTCTAATAGAGAAAAACTGTCTCAAAAAGACATATAACCTCTCGTAAATCAACGCACATTTAGTTAAGAACATAATTCAATCGAAGTAAATGATGAGCAAGTTAGTTGTTTCTGTTATATTTGCATGAGGTCCGGTGTTCACGTTATTATTTAGTCTAGGAGCAAAATGAACCTTATTAGAGTAGGAATGAGTATAGAAAATTCATATGGCCGACCTATGTTGCGTGGACTCTCCAAAATGTAGCCGCACCCGTGTCGGATCCTTCAAAAATGCACTACTTTTGGAGGATCCGACACGTATCCGGCCACATTTTCGGAGAGCCCGAGCAACATAGTGGCCGACCCGTAGTTTGGGGTTGATTAAGCTGGTCAAGAAAGACATTAACGTAGGGAGAATAAGTAGCTATGAAATTGCTTTTCAAGTTGACTCTTTTTATTTCTCCAAGGGTGCTGACTCGGTAAGAGGACTGCAGCATCTCTGTAACTATAATAGAAACTTGACAACAATTAATCCTTAAACTTGGATAAACACTTTAGTTGTTCACAGAATTTTGACAATCAACATGCAAAAGTAGCAGTTTGATGAAATTGACCAATATAGAGTTAGAGGTGTCTGGTACCTGCACACTAACTACGCCTTGATATAAATTTCTGAGGGCGTGCCCCCCGGATACATCCGTTCTGCATATTATCCAAAAAAAGACCATTACATCATCTTGTTACTAAAGGAATTGAAGTATATTAGGTGTATCAAGATTAGGAAAGTACGCATCCATAAATAATCCAGCATCACTTAGGCACTTCACTTTGGTACTACTTGGGAACAAAGTTCGGAACTCGTCACAATGCAATATTGAAGCTAGACCACCAGCAGAACATCCAGAGAGAAGAGCCTGAAACACGATTATCTATATCAGAATATGAATGACAAGAACAACCCAAATGATAAGCAAGAAGTAATTTTGACCTGCTGGGCATTACGCATTCCTTTTGACATTAACTCGGCCATTGCCGCTTCCCATATACGCTGACCTCTGAATTGCAGCTGTGCAGCCTGGAGAGAAATGAAATATAATTCAATACAACTAGTTTACAGTTTACACAAAAAACAAGTCAACAAAATCTTTTATAAAGTAAATCTCAGGCAATCAAATCATATAGTAACTTCAAATGTTTCTTGTACTTTATCCAAACTTTAATGTCATCACACATATGTTCGTGAACTTCGCATGGTTTAATCAGTGGAGATGAATAAAGCTTGTATCATGGTTAGAGGTCAAATTTGTCAGAGTTTAAGAAAGGGGCACATGCTAACCATAAAAATTTAGCATATGCTAGTATTAGTTGTTCAACCATCACTCTCGGTGTCCCCCTGAGAAAAGAACTACAGAAAGTATACACAATTGTTCAAAGACTGAGAATGAGAACATCGAACAGAAGATGCAACAGATATGTGGAACCTTGAAAATTTGAACTTCTACACATCCTCAGTCTCACAGGAAGCATGTAATGTGGGAAGAACAGCTCAGAACTGCCAAGAGTTCAAAGACACTATGTTTCAATAGATGTCATTCAGCTAACAGAAAAAGTAAAGGGAGCCAAAAGATCTTCCCAACCTCACACAGGAAGAGTATCGATTTCGTTAACGTCATTTCCCTCCAACTACCACTCAAAATGCCAAAAGAGAAAGAAACAAAAAAGACCAGAGTCCAGACGACAAAGAACGTAAAGAAGGCAAAATGGTTAGTATGACAAGTTTCAGCTGTCGTTTTCTTCTCCATCTAATTACTATTGCAGACAAACAGCACCTCTACATGATAAATGGATACTAAAAGAAGAAAATGGTGCATGCTGTTACACACCTTATTCTCACTGTCCCCTGCAAAGGAGGCTCCGTCGCAGTAACGAACTTTTACTCTATTCCAGTTAAAAAAATCTGCAACCAGAGAAGAGCAATCAAGAAAAGTCCCAAATGCAGAATCTGTAAAAGTCTTAGTGTAAATTGTTATATCAGCGGACCTGGATTTTCTTCAGCCTTGTTACTTAAAATCCCAGTAAATGGAATCTGCTTTTCCATGAATTTTGATGAGCCGCGTCTAGTCGTTTTGCGATAAACACAATTTCTAACAGTGTTACACCATCCTCCACCCTGTCCACAAGAGGCATCACTCAGTTTAGGTTCTGAATCAATAAATGCAATTATAGAGCTGGAAAAATTTTGTAAAACGCTGGATTTAGCATATACTTAATTCCCCAATTTAGGGAAGCATGAAATTAGAATTCTAAAATAGGGTAGAATTCCATAATCCTGATAAGAGAGTATCACAGGTACCAAACTTGTACGTTAAAAAACAACTTGTCCAACAACAATATAACTATGCCTCAGTCCCGAGCGAGTTGGGGTTGACTATATCAATCCTCATTGCCTATCACAGGTACCAAACTAGTACGTTAAAAAGCAACTTGTCCAACAACAATATAACTACGCCTCCGTCCCGAGCGAGTTGGGGTCAACTATATCAATCCTCATTACCTATGTCGCTCCATTTAAGTTCATTTCAGTCCGATATTATTAAAATACCAACTTTGATTTCTCTGGACCACAACAATCAATTAATCGAGCAATCAAGTAAACCCCGATCTCAAATAAGAATATGCAAGACAACAATATCTAACTAGAAACGAACTCTCATAAATAGTGACAGCTAAGACAACTAACTACACATTAAATATAATTAATGACAGAGTTGTCTTTAGCATATACCTCCAATTGAATGAGCCAACTGTTTGCCCCTGACCCAGAACCTGGATGTATGTGATAACCTGGTAGAGTTCCATCTAAACACACTGTAAAAATGCAAAAGAACAAAGTCAAAAAGGAACCAAAATCAGTTTCAAGACGGTCTTAATTACACAACCTTTTTTAAGGCCCAACAATAATTACAATTGACCAAAGCTAATCAACATGTGAGGGAGAAAAAAATTTGCCTTAATCAACTAAATTGGACTAACCGTTTTCATTGAGCTAATAGAAGATCAAAACAAGAAAACTTGACAAGGAGTCAGAGAGACAATTATTAATAAAAGAAGCACCAGTAATAAAATTAAAAAATAAACAACTGACAACTATGTCGAATCTTCCCCTCCTAGAAAATGATTAAAAAAATATTTTAACAATGAATTCATAAGTAAAAGAATAATTAATTAAAGTTATACTTAAATCACTGAAAAACTAAAATCTAGTGCAGAATCTAAACCGTGTAGTTGCAAAATCATGGAATGAGAACTAAAAAATTACCCTTTTTTCCCATAGCAAGACAGGAATAAAGGAAAATCAAAAAGTAAAAATGTCCCAGCTGGCAAAACACTTGAGAAAATTAGTGAACACAAATAGAAGAACACAGACAGCAAATCAGTGTGTGTGTGTGTGTCTATTTACCAGCTCCTCTAGCAGCAGCTCCAGGGATGAGCGTAAGACCAATCGTAAGAGGAGTGGGTTTAATGCCAGCAGCAGCAGCAGAGGTTTCATAAACAGACTCAAAGAATGGGCCGTCTGTTTTATTGAGAAAGAATTCTTCTTCAACTTCATAAGAATACACCAATTTGCTAAACAAGAAAAACCCAGCAAAAAACACACCCCAGAACCCCATTAAAAGCTTCGACATAGCTGAACTCCTTAAGCCTCTCTGTCACTACCCAACTATTAGATAGAGACGAGGCACAAAAAATAAAGAAGGGCACTAGTAGTGAGTATTATAAATAGGAATCTTTTTTGTGTTTATAAATGGTACGTCAAGCCTATGTTTTACTTGCAGAGATTAAGTAGTAACAAAGTTAGATCTCCGACACAGATTTGTTTACAAGACAAAGAACCTAGGGGATGGGGTAAAGTGGGGGGAGGGGGAGGGGCTTAGTGTGTATGTAATGAGATGGGGGAGGGTAAAAGACTGAAGAGTGAAAGTTGTTGGGGGG